TCAAATCATTTCGGTGTGACTTCGATTTACGTTTCCTGGTCTTTAGTAGTGGTGGAGAGTTTTTGTGTCCCTGTTGACCATTTGTTTGTTTCATTGGGGGAACTGTTGATTTCTCAGTGCGTTTTTAAATTGGGTTAGTTATCACCTGCCATTGTGTCTTTGATAGTCTTTATTCTGGCTGTTGTTTATATTGTCAGATGCATAGTTTGCAAACATTTTCCCTCATTTTATGGGTTGTTTCTTTATTCTGGTGGGAGCTTCCTTTGTGTTTCCATTTGAAATAATCTCTTTTGTTCACTTTTGATTTTGTGTTTTGTGTTTTTTTTGTTAGATTATTTTTGTATTGTTTTTGTGGTTGTATCAAAAACAATTCTTTGATGGAGGAGGATCATCTGTCTATGTGTTACTTTCATTGGTTAATAAAGACACTGCCTTGACCCTTTGATAGGACAGAAAATTAGGTAGGTGGAATAGATAGAACAGGATGCTGGGAGGAAGAAGGCAGTGAGGCAGTCGCCATGACTGTCCTCTCCAAGACAGACGCAGGTTAGGATCTTCTCCAGTAAGCCACCACCTCGTGGTGCTACACAGATTACTAAATATGGGTTAAAACAAGATGTGAGAATTAGCCAATTAGAGGCTGAAACTAATGGGCCAGGCAGTGTTTGAAAGAATACAGTTTCCATGTAATTATTTCGGGTGTAAACTAGCTGGGAGCCAGGCGGCAGGAACACAGCCCGCTGCTCCTTTTGCAACAATTCTTGTTCCTTCTAATACCCTGAAGTATTTCTCTTACAATTAAACCTTCCCTTCAGTTTGAAATGATTTTTATAACTGGTAAGAGGCAAGAGATAGAAATCTGTTTCTTCCCCTGCCTGACAGCGTTCACATTTATTGAGAATGTTGTCTTTTCCCTACTGGTAAGAGACTCTATTCTTATATCATTATTAAAATCAGTTGACTGGTCAAGGATGGTAGTATCTACCTGTCATCTCAATACTTTGGGAGGCTGACACAGGAGGATTGCCATCACTTTGAGGCCAGCTTGGGCTACATAGTAAGTATCATCATGGTAGCAGAGTGAGATTTGGTCTCAATCCAACCAACCAAACAAACAAAAACCATCAAGCTGAAGGCATATAAATTTACTTGTAGGCCATTGTTCTCTTCCCTTGACCCACATTTCTGTTTCTGTTCCCCCCTCAGGATATTTTGATTATGATGACTTTGTAGTAGACTTTGAACTCAAGTATAATGCCCCTTTGTTCAAGATGGTTTTGACCTTTTGGAAATTTTTGTGCTTCCATACAAATTTTAGGATTGTTTTCAAATTCTGTGATGAATGTACTTGAGATGTGATTGGGAATGGATTCAATCCATAGATTGGATTAACAATTCTGCAATGTTGATTCTTCCCATTCGTGAACTTTGTCCTTTTCTCTTTCTCTTTGTGTGCTTGAATTCTCGAAGTGTGTGTATGTGTGTGTTTTGTTTCCTTGATTCTTTCTTTTTTCTTTATTTGCTACTGTTAATTGGATTGCTTTTTATATAGCTATGTCGCGTAGTTTGTTATCAGTATGTACAAGACTTTGTCTATTGGTATTGTATCTTGAAGCGTTCTTAATTTTTTTTTTTAACTAATCATTTTCAGTGTAGTCTTTGGGGGTTTCTCTGTGCACGTCATGCCACCTACAAATAACATAAATCTTACTTTGTATTTCACAACATTTTTCTTCTCATTATTATTTTCTGGTTCTGGAAAAGACAGGGCCTTGGGTATGATAAGTACAGGCTCTACCAGCTGAGTTTTTCCCCAAGCCCTGAACGTCCTTCATTTCTTTTTCTTGTCTCTTCATTTTTGTGTGGACTTACCGTATCATGTTGAATGCAAATAGTGAGTGTGGCTAGCCTTGTTCTTTTCCAGATGTTGCAAAGTGTTCCGCTTTTTGTCTTTGTATTTTTTTAAATGTTTGACTTATGACACATCATCTTTGTTGTGCTGAGTACCTGTTTTTCTATACTTAATGGTCCGAGCTTTAGAAGATACGTTGAAGTTCATTACATACCTTTTCTTTGTTGAGAGAATTGTTGAGTTTTGTCCTTCCTTTTGTGGATATCTCATATCTCATGTTTATTGAGTCTCCATCCTTGCTTTCCTGTAATGAATCTCACTTGATTACAGTAGATAGTCTTTAATGTGCTGTGTCAATGGCTTGCTAGTATTTTTTGCATCTGTGTCTTCAAGGTATTGGCCTGTAGGTTTGTTTATGTATTTGTTAGTTTTATTAACTAGTGTAATGAGGCCTTGTAAGGTGCAGAAAATCCCTTTTCTTCTTTCTTGTTTTGAATTTGTATTTTTATGAAAGGGAATAGTTTTGGAAGGATTGGGAGTAGTTCTTTCTATGCTTGGGAGGTCCCAGTGGTGTAGCCATCTGATCATTGGCTTTTCTTTGGGAGACAGTGTACTATGAATTCAGTCTCATTAGTCATCGTTAGTTTGCTCTGAATTTCTGTTTCATTGGAATTCAATCACCACAAAGTGCATGTATTGAAGAAGTCTCCAATTTCTTGCAACTCTCAAATTTGTTGGTAAATAGTTGTTCAGACCCACTCTTTAAATACTTCACCCTGAAAGTAGCATATAGTCATTTCCTTCCTAAAGGATAAACCAGAAGAGTTCCCGAATTGGAAGTGGTGAAGGTAGAGGTGGATTGTAGCCATTCACCATCCCACATAGTTTCCTTTTTAATGTTATGTAAGAGTAAATGAGATTGGATTATGAACATACCCTGTTGAGGCATATTCTGCCAACTGCAGAATTCACTTGAATTCACAGAATGCTGTGAATGTGTGTGTGAAGGTGTCAGATCCCCTGGAACTGGAGTTACAGACAGTTGTAAGCTGCCACATGGGTGCTGAGAATTGAACCCAGGTCCTCTGGAAGAGCAGTCAGTGCTCTTACCCGCTGAGCTATCTCTCCAGCCCCCAAAGGGATTTTTTAAAAATGGGTGTTCAAGATAAAGATATGAACAAGTCAGAGCAGTTCCAAGGAACCCATTGTTTCCCGGAGGCTGAGGCGGTGTTATTTGTAGGATGAATAATGAAGGAGCATATAGTCAATTCTTCTTTTTTGTCATAGTTGTGCCTTATAAAGGGGTGCCCACACTGAGTTAGCCAGTCTGAGAGCATTGCCCCAGACAAAGTAGAGTTCTGTTCCTGCGAGCCTCTGACCCATGTGCTCATCAGCCCTTCCATACATAACCTTGTTTGGTGCGTATCTGCTAAAGGTGCTGTGTTTTATGGATCACATTCACCAGCGTTGAACCCCTGCCAAGCGGCAGTAGAATCGCAGGCTGAAGAAGCGTCTCTAGCGCATACTTTCTTTGTGAAGCACACTGTAGCCTTCACAAGCTTGAAAACATCCGATATCTCTCAAATACCAGGGAAGAAAATGTTCTTCAATAGACCATGGCAGAGATTCTTGTTTAAAGGCTAGGAAAGAGAAGCAGACCAGTGAACCCGGCTCAATTTGAACTCAAAGAGTGCGTGTTCAGTGGCTTGAAATTTTCAGTGCTCTGTCAGTGAACACAAAGGACTAGATAATTACAAATACATTTAAATGAGTAGGTGAAATTTTAACTGCATAATCTACAAATGAGAAGCTGAGAATATGGCTCATATGGTAGAGTGCAGGCCTAGTGAGCTAGAGCCATAGCACGGCATAAACTGGACATAGCGGTACATACCTGTCCTCCTCGCAGAAGCGTTCAAAGTAATCCTTAGATGCAGAATGAGTTTGAGCTGAGGTGTGTTTACGTGAGACCTTGTTTCCAGAATAGGAAATACACTCTGTGTTGTAATTAGACACTAACTAGTCCTCTCACTGCCCCCTGAGATGTAAATTTGTCAGAGTCGAAGCCACCCTGGAGTAGCTTGTCTAGAGCTGACTTTCTCCGTAAGGGGTCAGAGTGTGATGGGTATTTCAGGGTTGCCAGCCATGTAGTCTCTGTCAACTCTGCCAGTCAACTTTCCTGACTCAGCACAAAGTAGCACCAGGCAATCTACTGTAAATGCATGTGGCTCTGCACCAAGAAAAGTTTTAGGTTTGCACACCACATTTTACACACTACATTTTGAATTTCACATAATTTTCCTATCCCAGAATGCTGTCTTCTGAATTTTCTTCCAACTCTTTTAAAATGAAGAAACCACTCTTAGCTCATGGGCTAAAGCCTGTGGTAGCCAGATTTATCCTGAAGGCCTATAGTTTGTCAACTCTGATCTTCGATACTACTAGGTAGAGATGCTTAATCATTTAGAAAAGACTAAACTTTTAAAAAGTGTGGTGAAGTTTAAAAATTGCCAAAGTCCTCAAACCCAGCACAGTTTTCAAAGATAGTACACAAACACTCATGCATCGGCACATCCATCCTGTGCTTCTAGTACATACACACTCATGCATCGGCACATCCATCCTGTAGTCCTGGAATTTTACTTGTTCCACTGTGAACATGTGGTCTTTTTGAGCATTATGGATAGACGGATCTGCACCCAGAGTGTAATGGCAAACTGTGAGACCGGGTCACTTGTCTTTCACTAGCATCATTTAGTTCCTGTTTGGTTTTATTGCTGTACCAGGCACATTGCACGGGTACTTTGTGCTCAGAGATAATGCTGGTGAAGGGGGAGAAAGCTAAAAAGCGGTCATCAAGTTGTCATGCTGAACCTTGCCCTTGAAACACATAGAGCGGAGTAAGCTACACAAGCGGCTTATTATGTATGATTAGAGATGAGTGCACTGTCCTTCCTGAGTTGGCCTTTGCCTTCTTTGGATTCTTGGACCAGGACAACTTCAGAGACCAATGGTCATTATCCTGCTTATGGGTGGAAAAGCATGGTGTCCAGGGTGGACGGCCAAGGAGGAATGTAGGAGTCGTAGAAATCCACGAGACCTCACATCTAAGGATCTCTATGTCTTCAATCCTTTATCCTTACATCAGGATCACCTGTATGCACACCGTTGTCCCAGACTTTGTGTCTCTATGTCTCTGCTTCCGAAGAACCTTGTCAAGGGCGCAAAAGAGGGATAAAAAGTGACTATGGCGGAAACTAGATGAGCGTCATCACAGACCAAGATGCCCGCTGTCACGTCCGTGGGACAATCAGACCTGTGTTGCTTGCCCAGCTCACGCAGTCAGCTGCCTCCGATTATCAAACATGAATATGTGGCACCTGGACACCAGGTGCCTCACGTGTGTTGGCAGCCTCCCCAAGGCTGTGAGACAAGATCCCTGTCTCTGGGAACCTCATCTTTCCACATCAGCCGCGATGTTGTGGTATGTGACTGAGTGGCAGATTCCCGTCATTCCTCTGTGCTCCAGGATCAGGTAGGATGCCAGCGATGATCACCTTCCTGTACTCAGGGCATTAGTAACGATCTCTAACAAGGACGATGAGTTGTAGAGAGTCTTCCCAGAATCCTGTTTTGATTAGATGCAAAGATAAGTCACTATATATCTCATCATGAGAATTCAGAAATAGGTGAAGTGTGCTGGCACACACCTGGAATCCCGGCACGGGAGAGACTAAGAGGTTTGAGGCCAGCCTGGTCTATGTGGTGAAACTATATCTCAGCAACATTAAAGAATAATTAAATATAGCTTCAGTCTTATAGAGGAGTGACTAAAGGCGTATCTAGTAACATATCTAGTGATTGAATTTGTTTTCTGGCCTTTGGAACATAAAAAAATGATAGTTTAATGGGACTATATTATGGGGAAAAACACTATGTAAAATTTTGAAATGATGCGGTGATATGAAAAGCAGAGAAACATATAAAACCACACCTAGGTCAGCTACAGTGTCAGGTTCTGGTCACAGGAGTGTTTTCCGGGGATAGAGACAGCTGTGTTTCCCCATGAGCCTCCTAGAAACCACTGTGTCTAAGCTGACCCCAACCCCCACTTCACATAAGGGCATCTTCATCACTACCCATGATGCCATCCCTATTAAACCATGTGATGGAATCCTCACTGCTATATAGGATGACATCCTGGGTGCTTACTGCCCTCACCTGTCACAGAGGGGAGTCCTGGGGAAATGGTCCAGGGGGAAAAGTCATTGCTTCAGCTGCTGACACCAATGAAATCTGGAGCAGAACGAGGCGACTCTTTCCAGCATCCCAAGGAGGAGCCTGCATCTTGGCGTTCAACTGTGTGGACTGGACGGAGTGGGTCACGGAGAGACTTTCAAATGAGAAGCCCTTGCATCCTCAGAACCAGAGGTTAATGTTGCTGTCTGGAGTCCACGCTATTTCTCTCCCACTTAAATTCCATGGATCTGACCTTGGGAAGGAAGAGCTGGTTCTGGAGAAGATATTGCTCCTTGATTCTTGGCAATCAAGTGTGTGTCATGATGATGGTAGCAGATGGGTCCTGAGTTCAGCCAGCTCTTCCCTGAAGAGGCAGGTCTAGCCTGTGAACTGGGCTGGGCTGTCCAGTTCTTAGCAGTATGGTCAACACTGACCAGTCCTCTTGTTCCCAGTGTTTCCAGTCTGAATGTGAGATTCAGGTCCACTCTTTTGGCACCTGTTGTGGTATCAGTTATAGAGAATGCTGCCACCAGCTTGCAGGAAGAGAGCTGGGAAAATGAGAGGATACATTGGGAAGGGGGCGCTCTTTTTTTCTTCTTTTTTTCTTTTTTTTTTTGAAAACAACTCTCCAACTTTATTTGAGATTCAATAGGTTAGTTCTCATCCACATTGACTGTCTGTAGATTTTTGAATGTGGTAACAGGCACATAAGTTACCAATGTGTAGAGTTTGTTTGGCGAGTCCTCATCCTCATTACGATTTCTGGACAAACGTACCCGGATACGGTATGGAACATTCCTTATTCCTTTGGCCCAGATGGCTTTATTGAGCCTGGTATCAATCCATACATCTGGAGTCCCCATCTCCTTCATGGCAAATTTCCGGATTTCTTTGAGTGCCCTAGGAGCACGCTTCTTGAAGCCCACGCCATGGATGCGCTTGTGAATGTTGATGGTGTACTCTCGGGTCACCACCTCGTTGATGGCAGAACGGCCCTTCTTCTTCTCGCCACCCTTCTTTGCGGGAGCCATTCTGCCGGGCCCAAGCTGGAAAGGACGGGAGCGAGGGATTGTCTTTTTTTTCTTTAAATTGTTTTTATTGAGCTATATATTTTTTTCACTTCCCTTACTTCCTCCCTTCTCCCAGGGAGGGGGCTCTCTTTACAGTTATTTTTTATGTACATGGAAGATAAAGGAAAATATTGAAAATTCCCATAACAACACTGATTTTTAATACTTACTAGAAAGAATGACAAACACCAGGCTGAAATCCTCTTTGCTGCGTTTTGAGATCATTCCTCCGGCTGTTTGGCACTTTGTGCAAACCCACTAGTGTCCTGTTAATCTTCTCAGGAAGGGGAAACACCCTGAATCGGAGGCTTGTCTGCCTTCACAATGAAATATTGCCATGAAAACTCATCGGTTCTCACATGATTACACAGACTCCCAGATGTGTTTTCTTCTTTTGTGGGGAGGATTAGAAATCCATCATTGCTTTGGTCCATCAATGTCCACTACATCAGCATGTGCAGGTCCACTTGTCCCGTCCCGTCCCGTCCTGTGTCCACCCCCCCCCACCCCCGTGATGGGCTCTGATGACAGTTCAGCACACTGTCCCAGGAGCATGGTTGCATGGTTGGAAGGGCAGAATGGACTCTTCTTGGAGAGGAAGAGAAACAGCCCTGTGTTGCTAAGGAGCTCCCTCCTGCTGTGCTGCCTCTGTCTGGATTTTGTTTGGTGCTCACTACAGCTGTGGTTTCTTCAAAACACGCTCCGCTAAAAACTCGTGACCCAGGCAAGTCTGCTGATGACATTTCTATTCTTGCTCAGTTCCAGTTCTCATGAGAGAATCTCGCTTTTCTTGCGAAGAGTATTATTTCCTGGTACCCGTCATTTTGTAATTGCCTCTGGATTTCCTTCTCTGCTCTGTGATTTCTTAGTGTTGCCTGTCCTTCTGTAGGTGGTAGTGTCCACCACACCTTCTTGACAGCAGCCTATTTCTTGTAAAGAAGCAGAGGTGTTCTGGGAGGCAAAAAAACAGTTTCTCCTCTGTAGTAAGCTTTCTCATTGAGACCACCAGTCTGCAAGTAATAACACAGAGATTTATTAATTATGTAACTTTGGCCTTAGCTTAGGCTTTTTTTCTAACTAGCTTTTATAACTTAATTGACCTCTTTCTATTAATCTACATTCTATCACATGGCTTGGTTACTTTTCCTCTGTCCCCTATGTCTGACTCTTTCCACTTCCTATATCATGTCTTAGTTTCTCTTCTTCCCAGAGTCCTCTCATTCCCCAGAAGTCCCGCCCACCTTCTCCTACCTGGCTATTGGCCATTCAGTTCTTGTTGAACCAATCAGAAGGTGCCTTGGCAGAGACATATTTTCACCAAAAGATTATTTCGCAACACCCCTCTTTCTAGTGTTCGAAGCTTATGAACAAAATATATCACATGCCCCAAAGAACTTTGCATGCATTGTTAAGGTTACTAATCACTTTGACCTAAGAATTAAGTTAAAGAGGTCAAATCTCTTAGCCCATCAGTAGCAGAGAGTTTGCCCCACTGGAAACGGCAGAGAGAAAGTGTAAAGGAAGAGCTGGAGAGATTCAGATGTGAAAGGGCTTTGATGAACTCTGTTTGGCTCCTTAACGTGAGTGCAAGCATGCATGGACTGGAGAGAGGTACCAGTTCCTAGGGTCACTGACAACCTGCAGCACAGCAAGAAACTACGGCCTGCATGCTGCAATTGCAGGAAATGCACTGGACAATGACATGAACCAGCTCAGAGGAGAATTCTTCCTCAAGACTCCTGTTACAACTAAGCCTATCTATGACTGAAACTTGGCTTTGAAGCCAAGGCCTAGAAACTCACATTCTTGCCTACAAAATGGCATGATATGTAGGTGTGCGTGTGAGTGTGTGTGTGTTTGTTTGTGTGTGTGTGTGTGTGTGTGTGTGTGTGTGTGTGTTTGTATGTATGTAGATGTGGTTTGGCAGCTATACAAAATGCACATAGATCCTCAAGACTAAAAATGTTAGAGGAATTGTTCGGGACAAAGCCTGGGCTCTGGCAGCCCTGAAAAGTTAGATTCTGCCACTGGCCCTTAGGAGACAAAGTTAAGAGATCCATAATGGTGAGAAATGAAATTTATTCCGTGTGGCCACATTGGGGATAATAAGTATAGCAACTGCAGCCTCTTGTACAATAGCTCTTAACTGAGTTTTTAGTGGGGTTGCTTTTGTCCTACTTTAAAGTGAATGCCTCTAAGGATGTCAAGAATCTCAGTATTTTTAGCACTCTGTAGGAGTGGCTTCCAGTAAGTTTGAAGATGGGTCAAATATTGGCCAATATTTTACTGTATCTGATAGAGTATTACTGTTCTGTTACACAGAACACACATGGGATTTGTATGATCACAGCTGTGCCATGCAGTTAGATAGTATCTGCATATCTCCCAGCAGTAGCCGACATACATGGAATTCGTATGATCACAACTGTGCC